AAAAGGATTTTGCAATAGTAAACATCTCACAAAAATTAGTTTTTGGCATACTTATGTATGAGGCTAGCAACTCAGAGTGTTACGTAATTTTTTTATCCACAGTATCATAGTGAAATTCGTGTTACCTACACTCTACCCTTAAATTTTTTTTTTTCCAGTTACATTTTCCTTTTCTTTGAATAGTGTAACAAACAATTCATATTAAAAATTGATTACTGTCATCATGGTATGCAGTGTGCATTAATAAATTTAAGAACAACTTTAATATCAATAAGTGATTCTAATGCTTCAACAATAAAGAAATTTAACACTATTTTTTTTTTATTTGCTATTTTAAGACATCTAAATTAAATTTGCAAAAGTCGTTCGTTCTACATAAAATGAAAAAATCAAATTGTTTTTGGCTTTGAAGTTAACTATGCGTAATAGTAATACGCAAAAGAATAGTAAAAGTAGACATTTTTATTTTGAAAAAGAATACACAGAAAAAAAAACAAGTAGTTTCATAATAATAATAATAATAATAATATATGAGTAGATTTTAAATTATAACATTTGTAAACTTCCCATGATAATTATTTTTCTTGCGTCATTGCAATATACATACAATAATGATAATTCTTTATTTATCCTCAGGACACACATTTTTACATAATTTGGAACTTTTGATAATCCAATTTTATCATTATCATTATTGCTACTTATATCAAGTGGTTTTATTTACGTCAAACGTTTTATTTACGTCGAATGATTTAATTACGTAAGTGGTTTTACTTACGTCAAGGGCTTTTACTTTAGTCAAATCGTCAAAATGTCACTGATGAGAAACTACCTTTTGGTCAATCCTTTAGTTACGTCAATGACTAAAGTCAAAAGTTTCGTCATACATCATTAATTATGGTCAACAATTACAGGATTTCAAATTAATTGGTGAAATTTGAAATTTAACGGTACTATTTGAATTCCGTATGTTTCATAACGTATTAGTATGTATTCAGTACCTTTTAGACGGTTTTTTGTGGGGGTGAATTCATTGCCTTTGACACCAATGTACTAATTTCCAATCCCTGTGTCCATTGGAAGAATTCTCTAGACTTGGAAAAGGATAATAATTCATTGGTTACGCAATAAAGCAGGTTCGGTTTTGTTTCAAGAGTGCGGCCAGTGAACCATGATCATAGATGCTACGTTTCGGAATCTGAATACACACGCCTGCTTTCTCATGGGAGAAGAGCCTGAATCCAAAAATTGGAAATGAAAAAAAAAGTAAATATCATTTATAGAAACTTGTATTTTTTTTAATATTTCATTTCACTTATATGTGTCAATATTGACTCTATTACACTATTAACCAATAATGCGTTTTGTATACTTTCACCAGGCAGTGAGTGCATGTAGCACTTTTTTCCTTATTTGTATTTCTTTTATTTGTTTTTTGTTGTGTCTACCGAATAATTATCTATTTTATTATTGTGTCCATCCATACCTTATAAAAACTCTATTGGTTGGTTCCCACGATGTAAATAATAATAATAAAATAACAAACAATTCATTAATTAAATTTAAAAATTTTTTCCTAAGCATGAAATTATTTTCAAAATGGATATTTTTCATATTAAAAACTGTCGTTTTTCTCTAGCAAACCTCACATCAATAATTCTTTTGTTATCTTCATTTTTGATTTCTAATGTCAAATCTTTGCCATCTCCATTCTCTTCTTCAGCTAGAATTATCCCTACATGTTCCACCGTTTCCTTTACATCTTTTTCACAACCTTCATCCAACAATATTACTGATTTACCTTTTACCACCAATGTTTCTGAATCAGACTATACCATATATTTTATTGATGCATTCATACTAGTACTAGATATTTGTATCGGAATTTATGTTTTTTCTTTACATAGAAATATGAAAAATAGAGATATAAAAGAATTCGAATTCACTTCAATGGTTTTACTTACCTTTTTAAGTATGATTCTTAGCACACTTGGAATGATCACTGGGATCATTGGGTTTGACGAAGAAGCTGGACCCGGTGCAATAATACAAGGAGTAGCAGTTGTGCTTTTTTGGGCGTATCTGGGTTTAAATATAATAATAGGAAGGAAGTTAGGTTTTAGTAATTCAAATATTTTAGACGAAGACCTTACAGTATGCGAAGAAGACCGTATAATCTCCACAGCTTTCGTGATTTTATTAAATGCGGTTCGTTTGTATGTTACTACAAAAAACCTCAATTTTTTTATTATTGAGATTTTTAAAGTAATTGCAATTTTGATCAGTAATTATATTGGATTTCTAAAACCAATAACATTGGCTATACCATCAATTATCCAAGGCGTGATTTTATTACATCTTGAAGGCGATGATGTCATCACAAGTAGACACTTGGTATGGTTTGCAATTAGTTTACCTTCAGTAATAGCTTTGGTATCTCCTATAATCCTTTTATATCGGAAAATCAAAAACAATGATATATTGTTTCCGGAATTTCAAATTATTCAGAATTATAGTGGGATTCAATATTTTCTAGTTCACTTTTTTGTAGAATTAGGAAAGATTCTTCTTAAATTTTGCGAATTTGCAATGTATTTTGTACTATCTCCTATATATATTATGATTAGTCTTTCTTGTTATTTTTTGATTGTGGGTTTATTTGTAGTGTCGTTAATTTTGATTAGTTGCATTTTATTTATTATTTTTTTATTTATAACAATTGTTACGTTAGGATTAGTACAAATACCATTGTATTCCGCCGTCATCATTCCAACAGTCAATGCTATTTATAATATTATTGTCGTTGCCTTAATTGAAAATCCCACTTCGTTTTTACATTTTTGATTTATATTTTTACTTTCTAGAATTCAACTCGAAATTTTTTTATTTTTTATTTTAGATATGTTTTGTTGTGTAAATAAAATAATCAACAAGTAAAACTAATGTCTGTAAAAATATCAACAAATAAGTATCTGGTGTTTTAGTTTCTTTATCGATTGTTTTGCACAATTATTGCCTCGATCTTTCATTTTGCAGTAAGAAACAAGTTTTCCATTATATTTTTTGAACTATGAGACATTGGTCGGGTCAGTTATGCATTTCTTCAATCATTAACTCTTTGGTTGGCAAATTTATTTTATTTATTAGAATTACAGATTATTGATGTATTTGATGAGGAGAAAAAATGTAATTTATCCTTACAATCTCTCGTGAAATATGCACATGACTGTTAAATGTAGTAGATACTTGCTCTCTTTTCTTTTTTACTGTACAAAAAGGAATTAAACAATTTATCATTAAAACTAGAATAACAAGTGACAAACTGGTAATCACAACCATCACTACTAAGAATGGTTGACGAAATTCATTTTTATCGCTAAGGGCCTTTTGATGAAATTGACGTAATTGATCAGCCAATCAAATTAAATTTATTACTATTACCAATGATATGAAATTTTCTTCAAAATCGTTTTCTCCACAATCACCTTCACTAAAAATCATTTTCTACTAAATTACTTCTTTCAAAAATATTATCTTCAAAATCCTCATGATATAAATCATTATCTCCATTTTGTGAATCATAATAAATAATTGTTTACTTCATCTTTTAAATAAACAAATGAAGAAAATATAAGTATAAAATAAATAATTGGATGCATGTTATTTGTTTTTCTTTCTTAAAAGATGAACATTCAGGCTGATACCCTTTTGAATTCCTATTGCTTCTTCAATTTCATCATTAATATTTTTTTTTAAATCTTCTTCCTTTCTTTTGGTCCCAAGTTTTGTTTAATTATCATCTTCTTTTGCTCGATCCTTACTGGTTTCTTGATGTTATTCCAGTTTATTGAAAGAACTGTATAAGTTTGTAGTTGGTTATTTCGCAGGTTTCTGTGATATTTTCATAATCCTGGGAATAAGGCTGTGGGCGAAACTCCTCCAGAAATCAATCGGCAGAGTTACACATTAATTGTTTATCAGAGTTTCGCATTTGGGGGTTTTGTCAATCGTCAGAGTTTTGACAAGGTATATATTAATTGTTCATTATAGTTTCGACAGAGTTTTGACAGTCACTAAGAGGTTTCGGCAAGCAACCTTATGTATGACTCATCATCATTCTAGTTAAATAATTAAATAAAAATAAAAATAAAGATTGGCCACTCAAAAATTATACGGATCTAAATTTATCATCACTTTGTATTGTAAATTTAAAAAATTAGATTGTGTAGGTTCTTTTACAAGTGATATTTTTCAGTGATATATTAATTCTAGACTATCCTTTGGAACATCCTTTATTGGTAAAAAAAGTATTTGTTAAGAGACTTTAAGTAATTAGTATTAGTAATGCTATTGTTTATGATTAAAGGCATATCCAATGATTATTATATTTCTAAATACTGTAACGATTGACACCTTGTCCTAAAAAAAGATTGTTGCCAAACTTACAAAAAAAAGGAGAATGAACGTTCTAGAAGGTTGTGCTCAGCCTTTAGACCTTGATCGAATTATTATGGGATGAAGATAAAGATGAATTATAATTTTTTTTTTTTTTTAGAAAATAATGGCAACAAATTCCTCGCGAAGAATATTTGAAAATGCATCATAAAGCAAAACTTTAATAATTATATTCGTAGCCACAAGGACCAGTGCTTCCAATTGATCTCAAATAAACCTACCAAATAACGTAACCATGGATCCCAAGCAACAAAATATGTTCTCCTTAGTACATTTATATTTACATTTTTTTGATATCTATCCTGTGGCTAAAATCACGTGTTGAAATATTATCAAAAATGGAGAAATGACACGGGGGGATGGTTAATTTCTCTTGAAATCAAAAATAAAATTACAACAGTAATAATAATTAATGGCTTCAAACTTTTTAAAACAAAATATTGCAGTAAGTAGTAGAAATAATGATTTTCAAAATAATATTTAAAATAATATTTTATTTAGCTTATTCCATTGCTTGCCGCAGCTAATGGAGGAGTGGTCGTTGGTGCAGCGTAAGTCTCTTTTAATTATATATGTTTAATATTTTATCTTTTTTTATATCATCAATATTGAAATTTGATATCGAAATCAAGATACGGGATTTACGCATTAACGACATGTCCTGATGTGGTTTTAAAAAGATTGGATGGACAACAACCTTGGAATAAAATCAAGCAACATCAAAATTATAAAGTAAAAAGTTTTATAATAAAATGATTGAAATTCACCGTAAGGCCTCGAAATTACAGCACCCTTTTTACAACTTGTGCGCTATCATCATCCATCTTTCGAGGCCTTATGGGATAAACAATTTAAAAGCAATATTAATTCTTTTTCTTTTTATCTAGCTTATGACGATTAATAAAGAGTTTTTCGACTCTCGTAAAGGTTTAGAGTCACCTTCAAAACGTTATTAAACAATATCTTTAAATTGTTTCTTTTAGTAAATATTAAATAAAATTTTTAGATATATTTTATGAGAATTTAATAAATTTAAAATTTTTATTATTATTAAGTTATATTATTGGTGAAAATAAATAATACTCGCACAATTTATTTCCGATCCAGAAGGTTTACATAATTTGTGGTCTATAATACCGTTGTAATTTATTTGCTTTGACTCCAATGCGTGTATCAAAATTCTGTTGACGTCTTTTATCTTGATATTTATTTCGTTGAAGAATTTTAAAATTTTTTTCACCATCATGTGTGATTAACACACCTCCAGATTGTTGTGAGTAACCCATACTATTGGCATAATGAGTTATCAATTTTTTAATTATTGAAACGTCATTATTTTCCTATTATTATCATCATCACCATCATCATGAAATAATAAACAAACAAATTTGATTGATTGATTAATTAATTAATTTGCAATAAAATTAATAAAGTTTTCCAAGTAAAATCTTTTAAATACCTCTCTATTACGGAGATTTTGTTTATAATATCTTGCCAAGGAGCGATGACCAATACGTGCACCTGAAGGCAACACTAATTCCATTTTATCCTGATATATCATGTTCCTATTCAATATATTTCACAGATATTTAGATTATTTATTTAGATTATTTATTTATTTATTTATTTATTCATAAAGAAATAAATTATTTAATTAACAAAAAAACTTTCCAATACCTTTTTGGTAATTCATCCTCATCCTCGTCATCAATATCTTCCCATTCATCATCATCATCATCATCATCATCATCACAATCGTCATCATCGGCAACATTCACATCGTTATCATCATCAATATCCAGATCAGAATAGCTAGATCTAAAATCATAATAATCAGATATTTCCATAATATCATCTTCTTGATCATAAATTATCATAGTATGGCCTTTATCAATCTAATAATAGATTTTTTTTTTTTATTAGTTGAAAATTTGAAAACTTATTTTTTTTCTTGGCAAGAAGAAAAAAATTTACCATGTGTTTTCTAACGGCTTCAAGACTTTGAAAACCCTTTCCACGTCCATTACAGTAAAGGCATACATTACCAACCGAAATCTTTTCTCCTAAATATTTAATTAATCCTCGTATATCAACTAAATATTCAACTTCAGGTATAAAGAAACTATGAGCTTTAGTCATATGAGTGATATTGTCATCAAAAGTATCGGATTTATGTGTACAGAACAAACAATCCATCTCTCCTAAACGAATAGAAGTTTCTATCTTTTTATCCACCAACAATAAAGTGCTTGTCTTTTTAAATTTTCGTTTTAAATAACAATTATAATAATATTAGCATACATTTAAATCAATATAAATTTTATTTACTAAAGGTTATCTTTACCTCATCTTCCATTGTTAACACTTTAATTTCTTGTTCTTTTTTCAGCATTTTTTGTGAATCATTATTATCATCATCTACATTGATGTCACTGGTATTTTTTAATAAGGAATCTTTATACAATTATTAGAAAATAAATTTATAAGTTTATCATCACACTTATATTATTATTATAATTAATAAAACAATTGCATGAATTTTTTTACCTTTAGTTTTTGTGTCACTAATACTAGTAGTGGTAGTGGATCTAGTTTCTGCAACTTTATGTTTATTTGACTTTAAATGGTTTACATATGCATTATTTGAATAATAAATTTTACTATTGAAAAAAATAAACAAATAAAATAAAAGTTGATTAGAAAAAATGTTGAATTTTGATCAATTAATAATTTTTTCATTTACTTGCAAACGCCACATTCAACAGAAAAATTTTCTTTTTCAATTGCAATTTGATTTTTTCGTTGTTGAGCTAATAATAATTATTATAGAAGTAGATTGAATAGAGTGCTCATAGTGTTAAAATAAAAATAATTTAAAAGGTCTCAAATATTTACCCAAGACTTTTTGAGTAAATACTTCCAAGGTTACAGGTGATAAATCGACAACCTTCCTTTTTAAATTGTATCGATGCCAATCTGAAACATAATGATTTCGTTGAAGCTCAGCAGAAGAAAAACCAACTTGACAAGCTAAACAAGTAAAAAGTAAAGTTTGGGGTTGTTGTTGATCGGTCATATTGATTACAAGTTGTAGTTGTTTAATTTATTTTGTGGTTAAAAGACTCGATGATCAACATAAATTGTATAATCAACCGGTATTACTTGAAAAAGGGCTTTCTCAATTATCCAATCATAAGATTTATTAGGTAATTGTTCACTTAGTACTGTAGTAGTATTAATATTAGTCTTCCGGCTTTGTTTTTCTTTTCAAGTATTTCCTTTTCGACTTTTTTTTCTTTAGCATTCTTTTCCCGCAAATTTTATCCAACTCATTCAACCTCTCTAACCTCACCTCCAACTTTTCATACTCCTTGTTTGCTCGCTTGAATCCCTTTTCCGTTTTTCGATAGTAGACTTTTTTTTTGTAAAGTAAATAAAAAATTTAAAAAAAAAAAATTAATTAATTAATTAATTGTTCCCATGCATAATTTTTACTACCATAGTAAAACGGACTACTAATCCTGTGAAAACAAAAAAAACAAAAGTAGTCAGAGTACTTGCATAGAAGGAAAAAATACTCGGATCCAAAGCCATTTTGAGTATTACCTATTTTTTAGGCACTCTAGTAGATACATAATCTAGATTATGTATCTACTTAGCTAGGTTATGTATCTACTAGGATTAGACCATGTATCTACTTTGTGGCCTGATGACGAGGATTGGCCACATATCAATATGGCCCATTTTTATTTTACGATTGATTTACGAATTCATCTTCATTTGGGTTATGATTGATTCACAAATTCATCATCATTTGGGTTAGGATTTGACCCATGAATTCGTTATCATTTGGATGTTGATTGATCCACAAATTCGACATCATTTGGATAATAATAATGATTGATCCACAAATTCGACGTCATTTCCACAATGATGTAATTATTAATAAATTAGACTATTTTGTGGTCAAAGGATACATTGATCGAATATTCTAATAATTTAACACAAAAACATATAAATAGAACCTCTATCCCCACTTCTTGACCAAAAAAACCAATTCGTAAAAAATACATGTCTTCTATACCACTACAAATAACACCACAGTCTTTTAGGCGATTTGCCAACTTTTTCAATTGTGAGGATGAAGCACGAAGTGCTGAATTGGCAATCTCTATTTTGGCCTTGTATATCGAATTTGAATGCCAGGTTTGAGGTACGTAGTGCCAAAATAGTATTCGTGATCTGGCTTTGCATGTTTCATTTGAATGCCAGGTTTGAGGCACGAAGTGCCAAATTGTTATCCCTACTTGGTGATATGCAAAAGCACATTTTTTCTTACTTCTTCCTTATATTATTCTACCTATGTGTATCACCACAAGTATACTATGTTTTGGGTCTCTAGAAACCTTTCTCGTATAGTTGGTGCTTCCAGGTACTACCTCTCCATGTAAAAATTCGTCCTATCCTTTGTTGTTTTACTATTGAAAAATTGGATGTACTACTGATTCGAAAATTTTATTCTTACTTTTGTGTACTACCGAATCAAAAAATTTATTCTTTTGCGTACTACTGAAAAAATTTCACACTTTTGCGCCATAATTCCATCACATGAATTTTTTCGTAATATACATACAAATGAAAACTTTAGGAAGTGATTCTAGTTATAAACCATTGTACATCACTGACGTCTCAAGAGAAAAAAGTGAGGTATCAAGGTATGTGTGATTATACATGTATGTAATATTATTTAGCTTGAAGAGCTGTTCTAAATTAATACAATGTACAACAGCTCAACTTCGAGAGACAGCTCAAATTCAAGGGAAACAGCAAACTCTGATGCTGAGATATCAAAGTGAGTGAGTCGAGAATGTGTAATTGTAAATTCTTTTGACAAAATTTTTATAATTGTTCTTAATTATTAATTACAACAGTGATAATGCTACCCTTCTACAACTTTCTGAATCTAAGAATATTATTCTGACAAAATTTCAAGAATTGTGGTGGATCCAAGGGAATATGCATCCAAGTGCAAAGTGGGAAGAAGCTTTGTAAGTATTCTTTTTTTTTCCTGTTGTATTTGTTGGTACAAGCTAATCAATACTAATAACATCACATTCATTGGACACATAATGTTAAGGTTACCCTATATTCTGAAAAGTGATGTTGATTGGGAGAAATATTCAGAACGAACTGATATGTTCGATGTACATGGAAATTGGGAGTGGATAGATAGGAAAGTTTACGTCTATGAATTGCCTTTAAGACCTCATGAAATTTGTTCTAGTGCAATTGAAAGCCAAATTCATTTGGCTAGGGCTTTTAATCATGAATATCATTAAGGGGGTTACACACTATTAAAACAGCAAAAAATCCCTTAAAAAGATGAGTTGATCACTTGATTTTAATAGTGTGTGACCCTGTGTGACCTCCTTATGATATTCACGAATACAAACCCTACATTTGGCAGATCCAGAAAGAATGCTCATTGGTTTAGGATCTGCTTGTAAGTATTTAAACTTTTTTTTGGGGGAGGTTGTCAATCATTCACACTGTTAGATAATTCAAACATGCTTCTGATTATTGAATATATAAAAGGAACAAAGGTTGGTGCTATAGGAAAAGAAGCAAATGGATCTTACATACCATGGGGAAAACCTAGAGCAAATTCAAATGGATGTGAGGGTCCAGATTCTGTATGTAAAGAGAGTTCTAAAATGCATCTATTATAATTAATCAAAAATTTTAATATTGGTGATTACATTGTTAGTATAAACCATGGCCCAATCTTGTGATAGAAATTGCCTCTTCAGAAACTGAAAAACATTTATTAAATGCAGTAAAAAATTATTGGCTCTATCCAGGCAGAGCTCATGATGCAATTGCAGTAAAGTTAGTGAAATCTGGTACAATTATTTCAAGTAATAATAGGAAGATATAATTTTTTCTTTAGTTTCTTACCATCACCATTTTATTATTATTATTATTTTTGACAGGTGTGGCATTTCTGTACAGACAATAGAACACCAACAGGGGAATTAGAACCTGTTATGGTATGTTATATTATTATGTAATTTAATGTAAAGTAAGTGAATTGACAGAAGACAATTTTCTTTTCTTATATTTTAAAGGAATTTGAATTAGTGTTCCATGTCGCAATCCAAAAAAGGAAACCAAAGTGGTCGCAAAGGTGGTTGTAACCAGGTGTCGCAAACCATTTTTATATGTCGCAAATATGGTTGCAACCATCACCAAGAATTGCGACCAGCATCTATAATTTGAATTCAAAACCATTGATGACAACGGCAATATTCTTATTCAACCTCAACAATATACTATTAGTATTAGTACAAAATGTCTTTTTCATGGAATGCCATCTGATTTTCATATACCTGCATCAATATCTAATCCTCTTATAATAGATTTTTATGAAATTTTACATGATATGGAAGAAGAACTTAGGATTTCATAAAGATCACCTCTTTTGATATCACACAATACTTTGAGTTGTAAGTTAGCTTTTCCATTCCCCTCTACTATGGCATACTAGTATATATCAATAAAGAATATATCTCTTCACTTATCTCATTTTCCAAGAATTTGTTTAACTTCTTTTTCTGAATTAAAGGAATTTTTTTTTTGTTTATGAAGGAAATCTAGCAAGAAAGTTCCACCTACACACAAATCTAAATATCATCATTCTAATACTCCTCTTAAAAAATTGATTAATATTAACAATAAATCTATTTGATTCATGCTTTATTAACATTCTGAACCAGTTGATATTGCATTTATTCTGTCCTGTAATTTATTTTCATATCAATAGATCCTACCCAAAAGATCAATTTCGCATATAAAATCATGTTTATTTGTTGCGAATATATTTTGGGTTTATTATATTGTACATACAGACATCAATGTACATTGAACCGCACAAATTGAGCAAGTGAGCATCTTAACCAGAACAAGATTTGATCTTTTTTTTCCTGATGACACTGGTTTTATTTATTATTATATGATTACAGCATCGCCATACATGTTTTCAAAAAAAAAAAAAAAAGGAAGGTAGAAAAATGAATTTCAATTACAAAAGTTTTTATTGTGTGTGAACTGCACTGATCATACAATATTAATATTTCACGCACAAGAATCTTGGTTTATTATCATATTTTTTTTACTACTATATAGATGGTGATGATGACAATTTAGGTAAAGAAAACAAACTACAAGGATGACGATGATGATGATTACCGTTGCCCTTAACGATTTTTATTATTCTTGTTTTTATATTATTATTATCACCATTACCATCATCATTCATCACCACCATTATTATCATCATCATCATCATCATCATCATCATCATCATCTTCCCCTAAAAATGACTTCAAATTTTTGAATCTTTATTCCTTGTTCATATCATCATCGTCATCACCCTCCCTTGAAAACTCTCTTGCCAATAAACTTTGACATCTTGTAATCTTTTTCGATATAATATTTTTACTCATTCTTTTAGATAGAAATGATACTACTACTATTATTACTACTGTTGTTATTCTTATTGTTACTACTATTACTACTACTGATGCTATGGTTACGACTATTCCTTTCTTGCGTCATTGCAATATGGATATAATAATGATAATTATTTATTAATCCCGAGGGTTAATAATTATTATAGCATTGTATGTATATTGCAATGATGCAAGAAAGAATAATTATCATGGGAAGTTTTACTTGTTTTTCCTCAAAATAATAAAAAAAATACATCTTCTTTTTTACAACCAAATTGTTTTTACGCACATATTTTTGACTTTTGAAGTTAACTCTACATATTGGTACTTAGATTGACCGCACACAAGACAAGTTTTGTACATATTTTTGCAAGTTTTAATTTTAATTTTTATTTTTATCACTTTTAAATCTTCAAGAATGCTGAAATTCTTTTATTGTTGACTAATCGTTAGAGTATGGCGGTGAAGAAGTTGTTCTTTAAATAATGCAATTTTCGTTTTTCCTTATCAATTAATCCTGTTAGAGAAAAACTTAAAAATTTGTTTGTTACGCACCATTGAAGTTTTTAAACGAAAAATGTAAAAGTGAACTTTGTGAAATCTAGATTATTACAGTGTGATGATATTCTGGCATCATGATGTTATAAAATCACACGACTCAATCACATACATACATATTCGTTCAGGGCATCAAAATTAACATATATAATAGACCCGCTACCCCAAAATGCAAAAAAAGGTGCATTGCATTCAAATTCGAGGATTGATGCACATGGTGTTCTATATATGATTTGGTTTTACACGTTACATTCAAATGCGAGGTATCTATATATTCGTTCGGAGCACCAACATTAGCCAGTCATATTTTTATTCATTGTGTTGAGCAAAATTTAGTAAAAGATCCTTTTCAAAGAAGAATCATTATGTGAATCAAAAGTTATTTACAAATTTCGATTGATTAAAAAGTCAACGAAGTTTTTTTTCCTAATTAAAAAAGAAAGATCTTTTTATCCTGATCTTTTCTCCAAGTTTGTTATTTGTCCCAGATTAAAGGTCAATTAGATCAATTGGATTTTTTTTCAAGTCTATCACTATAAAAGAATAAACTCCATGCAAACATCAAAATTATTTACAAATTTCAATTGTAAGAAAAAATCAACTAAGCTTTTTTTTTCATAATTTAAAAAAAAAATTACCTTTGCAAAGATTAATCAATGGATTTTGTTTTGTTTTCTCCGAAAGGAAATTAAAAAGGAAGTTCCTATTCGGATCTCTCAAATAGAAAAAATTTGCAGACATTGCTTGTTTATCGATCATTTGAATTGACAGATAATAATCATAACATCAAAATAAAATGCAAATGTTTTCGAATCCCAGCCTCGTGGCCCGAAAATATATTTAACACTAACACGTTGCATGACAAGTCTTTGACGACCTGGTATCTGAGGTAAAGGTTCCAAGGCAAGGCCGTAAGTTTTGATCATTTCAAACAGTCCGAAATGTCGGCAAGAAAATCTAAGCGAAACACGATTTCCTTTCAGTCAAGTGTCTGCTTCGCACAACCTGATGTTTTGAACAAAAATAGATAATTTTCGGTTTGCAAAATAGATATAAATGGAAATTCGCATGATACGGCGATGTAAAAATAACCATAACCATTTATCTTTTTGGAAAGTGGAAATATTTAAATCAATTTGCAAATTTCATGTCAGCATAGCAAAAAAAGAAAATCGATTCATTACAAAGTTTTACGATTTTGATCACATCCTTCCCCGACAATTCAGTTTACTAAAGTTGTGCAACAAATGTTTAAAAGATTCGCGGTTCGTCACCATAACTGCACTGTATTTACCGTCTAAAGTCTTTCTTTATATATAACAAAGTGTTTCCCTGCATTCAAATTTTGGAAACAAAAAAAAACACTGTATTACACAAAAATTACATTTAGAAAGGAATTGTAACACGGCAACCTTTCTTTCTAATTAAAACACCCAAGTCGAATTTATATATTATATTTTTATATAATGTCATATGTTAACCTATTACCATCATTATCACAAGAAAGACTGGGTTTTGTAGATAAAATTTATACTGAAATACTTAATAATGCTAATGCTAATGGTAATAATAGAGAAAGTAGAAAAGATTATTTTTTTTCATTAGTCAAAAAAAACAAGGAGCTTTCTGAAAATGAAAAAGAATAT